ATGGTACAGAGGACTTGCGCATCATCCTCTGGTTTGGTTCGGCAAGATTGGATAGACAACCTTCAACAATTAACATTTAGGACTGTCTCACTGCTTGCACGCATGACTGTTTCCCGGACGTAGTGACCTGGCTAGTGACGATGCTTGTTTTTTCAACTTTGATTCAACTTTAACCTTGATGTGTTTGACTTTAGCTCTTCAAAAACGCCCTTTACAAATACACCTTACTAGACCTAATTCTTGTCATATCAAGCACTTTAATTATATAAAATTTTTTACTTATTTTTAGCAAATACTCGTTACTAGTGGATAAGTTATCTAGAACGTTGTGAATGGAGAGTTCAGCCATTTCTCATCTTTTCGTGCACTTTGCGAATTTCGATATAGCAACGTTTTCATCGTACCAAAGTCCACATTTGGGATTTGCAAGGCCCTAACGGACCACCAATCGTTTCGTGAGTCTGAGACCAGATGTTGACAGACGTGAATGAATCAGCTTACCATTGTGCGACTTGACAACACATGGGTCAACGGCATCTTACCCAAGATAAACCAAGCCCCGCACCTCACTCCATTTCTGCACCTCTTCTTGGCAAACATCTACCTCCTCGTCATCAAAGGAACGACTTTTTCAACCGCTCCTCAGCGATCCAGGCCATCTCCACGCCCGGTGCCTGCGTCGTAGCCATGGTCACCTATACAAACCTCCAACTTGTTGAACAATGCGACAAGTGAGCAGTCTCCGAGTACCAGCCACCAGCGCCGTACTAATTCCACAAGATTTCCGTACGCGCAAACGCGACCTGACGAGTACGCGACAAAGGTCTCGGGGTATTACAAGTTCCATGTAGAAGGATGTGCCTCAGTGCTCGGCTTCATGCTTCCGGCCACCGTCCAAGGGTTCCAATGGCCGGATTTCTGGAAAGTCGACCACCAACGCAAGATCGTGCTGCTCTGTGGCAAGACGCTCGACGAAAGGGATCAACGCGTCGCCAGGACTCTTGCCGCAGAACGTCAACGCCGTCACTTCAAGCTTCTCGATGGATGGAGAAATGAGCTATACCCAGTGTATGGCCCGGACCGCAGCGTACTCGTCAATATGGAACGAGCGGCCAGCGCCTTGTTTGGCATCGTGGCCTACGGAACCCACCTGACTGGGTACGTCGTCGCAGAGAGTGGCCTCAAGATCTGGGTGTCTCGCCGAGCCAGCAACAAGCAGACGTATCCTGGTATGCTGGACAACACTGCCGGTGGTGGTATGGCCAGCGGCGACAAACCATTCGAGAGCATCGTGCGAGAAGCGGCCGAGGAGGCCTCGTTTCCTAGGGATTATGTGCGGAAGAATGCCAAGTGTGCTGGCACCGTTAGTTACTTTGACATTCGGGATGAGCGAGCAGCTGCTGGCACAGAGGTTGGACTGCTGCAACCTGAATGCATTTACGTGTATGATCTTGAGGTCACTCGAGATTTTGTACCGCGTCCACATGATTTGGAAGCAGAAGATTTTCGTCTCTGGGATATGCCTGAATTGCAGGCTGCCTTGAGGAGGGGGGAGTTCAAGACGAATTGTGCTCTGGTGCTGCTTGATTTCTTCATTCGTCATGGCATTATTACACCTGAAGAAGAGGAGGACTACGTTGAGATTGTCGCAAGACTTCATAGAAAGCTAGAGTTTCCCTGTGCTTGAGATCAACTTGGCACGGTACAGCGTGTGAAACATTGCCTTGAGGTCTGCGCCTTGTTAAGAGACATCTAAACGAGCTCTGTAATGCTGAGTCGATCCTGGCAGATCAATCGAGTCGGACGAGGCTTCGGGGAGGGAGGTAGCCGCAATCCAGAGGTTTCCACTGGCGACTTCTTGGCCATGCTCTCGCACACAAAGCTGCGTAGTATGGAGGACTTTGGTCACATGGAAGAACACGGTTCTCAAGAAGTGGGATATCTCCTGTTTAATTTAAACCAGACTTTCTTTCCTCAGGGCCCCGCGCTAATTCACAACGTATCGATCGCCTGAAATGCAGCATACCACGGTCAACTCCAAATGTTTTGCGACGCTGAGCAGTGTCTATCGTAACTCCATGGTGCATACATGATCCAGAAATCACTAACAGTGGTTCTTGGGGGGTTGATCCTTGCCAAGCTCGCAGGTATTGTGCCCTGGGAATTGGGAATACTCCGTGACGCCAAAACGGTCACTATAAGCAAAACCCCTATATCGACGTCCCGAGAGCTCCCACCAAGCAGCAATGGGTTGTTCCGAGAAGCACTCGAGATGACCGCACGCGTACCCTGCGGCTCTCGTCATTGCCGACATAGCTATTACACAATCGTGATTGCACACTTGCGAATGCAGGGGGTTCGGCCACGTAGCCAGCCCGCCTCCTTTGCCATCTAGACACCATTTGGCACCTGCTCTTAGGTGCGGTCCGCCGCGAAACGTCCACATGGCCTCCTCAAAGTCTGGGCTTGGTATCCCTCGATAGGCGTGCGCAGTGAGGTCGCCAACTGCGCCAGGGCACTCCAGGCGGTAAATACTGTTGCCGGCGTCCCAGTAGATTTGGTTCAGGTGCGAGCCCGCGTATAAAGCGTCAGCAAGGGCCTTTTCGCCAGTTTACTTTAAAACTACCGCCCCGAGCTTAGCCTAGCCTCCCCATTAAACTTAGACAGTGGCGGTCAGGCCCAGGATCGCAGCTAGATACATAATGGTACCAGCTATAGAGCGCATGTGCATGGCCAGACGGTAAAGAAGGCTGTTTAAACAATGCAATAATAGGCTGGGTAGCATATGGTCAACGTGAACTGGTCGTAAGCCCATGGTGTGAGTTGCAAAACCGACTGGGGGAAAGCCTTGTTCTTATAATACTTTTTTTTGTAAAGCAGGCGCAAGCTAACCGGGACCGATTTCTATTGCATCAGCAAGCGTCTGTCAGCGCTGACGGGGTTTAGGTTGGAATTACTTCATATAGGCCGCTCCAACCATCATCTACTGCATTTTGTCTCGGCTTGTCGCTGAGATTGGTAGTCGGTACTGGTTGTGAGGGAACTCGGGGTTCAGCCCTGGCTGTGAGTTTTCAATTTCAGCTGCGGCCCAGCATTTCCATGCGGAGACGGACCGCATGCTTCGATATTGCAACCCTACCTGACTTGAACAAGCCGTTTTATTACTAGGCCAACTTGACCCTTGAATTTAGCAATTCCGCAAGTCCGGCTATTATACTTGATGCTTTTCTTGTCCTGGATTGTTTACACTCCTCAGACATGACGGCTTCCAATCACCAACTAGGCGAAGTTGAAAATTTCTAAAATGGCATCAGTTTGATCAAGCAAGGCTAGATAGAATGTATCCTTTCAACTGCAAATACTGATGATTTTTTCGGCTCGGTAAGGATTATGAGCAATTAGATGGCAGGATTCCTTGACTGCCACCCTTGGAGCCGATGCAAATAATCCCAGCCTCTTCTGTCTTACACGTCAGCTTTACAGGCCATGATAAGCTGCAGACTTTTAACCGAGGCTGTATGTCTTAAAGCCAGCCTGCTCTCGTGGCGATTTAGACTCTTGCGGAGAACAACCAGCTTTACTAATTTTCTCAGAATTAATACCTGAAAGTATAGGCCGTTCATCTCAACTGCGGCTATGACACTATTTAGAACCACATCGTGCCGCTCATGGCGATGCTCAAACTGGGCATTAGGCCGAACGTGGAGTTTATTCATATTCAAACATTTACGAGAAGACGTTCTGGCACATGGGTGTGACACAAGAGCTCTCATTACGGGACGTAGGGCAAAAGGGCTCACCGAATTCGTGAAGCTCCATGAAAAACAAAAAGCTTTGATACCAAAGACTCTCATTAGATGATATACAAGTGAGTCTACTTATAAACGCTGTCCTTGTCCACCGTAGAAAAAAACAAAATAGACACTCGTGTTAGAATCGTTTCACAGCTTAAGGAACTTGCTTTGACCACTTATTAGTAGAGGTGGAAGCAGAAAGGCACCAAGATTGTATTTTGCCTTGAAATACTCTTGTAACAAGTTACCTGATATTGATTCTACTCTATACTCTCCTATTCTTAGACATCCAAAACGTATCCCAGTTTAGTTATAAAATTCTGCTACCCAGCGTGTCTGAAGTGGAGGTTTTCAATTACACAGACCGACCTTTCTGTAGTGCCGATAGTTGCTCTCACTGTCTCTCTGCTGCCATCGCTCCCACAGTGAGTTTGAGCGTTCAACTCACAACTCCTCAATGGGCCTGAGATAATATCCTATACCGTGCTGGCGCACTAAACCTGTCAATTACTGTTTATTTACTCAACTCCTATCAGGTCTTCACTGCATTGTTCAAGCATTAGTAAAAGTTGTCCAGCACGAGTTCCAAGTGCGCCGTCGGGCAAAAACGGGCGGAACACGTCAATGCCGGCATATGACGCCAACCCTCCGCACGCACAAGAGCCGGGATGTGCCTGTTTCGTCATTGCTGCTGTGACAAGGGGGCTTGGAGCAATAGCTCAATTCAGCTAATAACAGTCTTTGGTATCAAAGGTCCTTGGTTTCCCTCAATGCCTCGGTCGCCAAAGACGTCTTTAAATACAAGAAGTCGATAAGGGACTTTGCCCTACGTCTCGTGACCGTAGCCCTTGGGTAACCAGCCATTTCCGTGTAACAGCTGCGGCGATTACTCACGTCGTCTGGTTATTTGAATTCCGTCTCTGTCGATCAAGCATGGTCAGCGACTACCGTGATTGGGTGTTGATCTCAGCACGGAAAATCCACTGCAAATGGCGACATGGCGTGAGGCTATACTCATTTGGGATGCAAATGCAACGCCTTGATCTATTGCACGCGATATGCATGCTCAACACGTCGATTGCCTTTTAATGCAGCAGTATCTACAGTATCTAAACAACTATTTTCAATCAGTCTAGCTTTCAAAGTTTGCTCAGTTGCAAAAGCAAGACACGTGCCTCAGCCTCGAGGGTCTATTTCACGCCCGTCATGGCCAATCTCTTTACAGATTCATCCACGGAAAAGGTCCATGTACCATCTGAACCAAGTGTTGGCCCTGCTATAGAGGAAATCAACGAAAAGGCACTACTTCGCAAGATTGACGCCAAGCTCTTGCCCGCAGTCGGAGTTTTATACCTGCTCTCCTTTCTAGATCGCAGCAATGGTAAGCCAACAGATACTCCATCTTCTTCATCGTGGAAAGAATCGTCCAGCTAATGCAATACTTTAGTGGGCAATGCCCGTATCGAGGGTCTGCTCAATGACATCAACGCAAGTCCGTGTCGCCATTCACCACCCGCATCATCATGAAGAAGCGCTGACTGTTGCTACAAAGCCGGCAACGAGTATCTTACCGGTTTAACCGTGTACTTTATCGGCTATGTGCTTTTCGAGGCAAGCAATGCTCGACGGACCGAGACGTGCGCTTTCTAACGGCTCCCAGATCCCCTGCAACATCATACTCAAACGGACAACGCCGCGGCTATGGCTCCCAACGCTCACGATAGCCTGGGGAATTGTGGCTACGTTGCTGGGCATTGTACACAATCTGGCTGGTTTCTTTGTGGCGCGATTTTTCCTCGGCGTCACGGAGAGCGGCTTGTTCCCCGGCGTGGTCTTTTACTTTTCCATGTGGTATCGGCGCCGGGAGAGACAGTACCGCATCTCGCTCTTCTTTAGCGCTGCGTCTCTTGCCGGCGCGTTTGGCGGCATTCTTGCCTTTGTACGTTTTTCCCCGTTGATTTTCGAGCTTCATGACCCCGGCCGCATGGATGGTCCTTGACAACATTAGTCTTGTTGCTTTCAGGTGCTGACTGCGTGGGGATCCAGGGCATAGGCAAGATGAAAGGAATAGTCTGGGAGAATGGATGGCGCTGGATTTTTATCCTGGCAAGTGAAGACCCCTTTTGTCGTGGGAATGCATTAGACTGCTGACTATTTACCACAGGAGGGGCTTGCCACCATCGTCATCGCCTTTGCTGCCTACTGGTTCATAGAAAACTATCCCGAGACCTCCAAGTTCTTGTCAAAGTCCGAAAAAGAATTTATCCAAGGTCGCTTGGCTGCGGATAGCGATGCCACCCACCATGAAAAGTTTAGCTGGAGTGCAGTCTATGACGCGTTTCGTGATGCAAATTGTTGGCTCTATGGGCTGGGGTTTCATACCATGAGCTTGCCGTTGTATACGTTGTCTCTGTTTTTGGTATGTTGGGGCCTCGTTCCATCATGTTTGCGTTAGTTCCTCGTGCATGCCCGCGATATAACTGACTTGTGGTATCAGCCTACCATCATCAAGGATCTGGGATACACAGCAGCGACAGCACAGTTACTAACCATTCCGCCCTACGCACTCGCCTTTGTAACAACGCTTGCGGTTGCCATATACTCAGAGAGACTGGCCAGACGCGCAGTCTTCATTGCGGCTTCGGCCATCGTCGCTGCCATAGGCTACATCATCCTTCTGTCGAATACAGATCCCAAGGCTCGGCCGGCCGTATCGTACGTGGGAACCTTTTTCGCCGCTGCAGGCATTTATCCTGCTACCGCGCTGGTTCTCTCCTGGCCTGCCATCAATGTGTCCGGCCAGACGAAGCGAGCCACGGCAAACGCTATGCAAATTAGTATCGGAAATCTAGGTGCGGTTCTGGGCACGCAGCTGTACCGATCCAACGATGGGCCGAGATTTGTTGTCGGTCATGCCGTGGCATTGGCGTATCTCGTTGCAAATGTTGCTGTAGTGAGCGTGCTGGCGTGGAAGTTGAGGAAACAGAATTTGCAGAGGGCGGAAGTTGCTGACGAGGTTGTGGACGTTGGGAGAGCAGAGGACTGGAAGGGTGATGGAGACGCCCGGTGGAGGTTCCAGTATTAAACGCATATATGTATATATATGTTTTATATATGTGTGTGTATAGAGCATGGAACGAGTTGGAGCGTATAGGTTTGCTACGACTAGGTTTACATAGCTGCGAGTTAACCCAACTAGCGGCTTTATTAACGACTCCGCTTGAGGCGAATTTAGTTCTCTTGAAAACCGATGTTGATTACGTCAGACATGGCAGTCCGCCAACTCTGCAGACAGCTTTCGATATCTCGGCGCAAGCAAGATACGTGCCTTCTTTCCCCAGATAGCCAAGGGTATACCAAGACTGTTGATAAATAGGTTTATAAACCCACACATAATAAACACATTGGTTACGCCCACCCTGTCCAGCCATGGCGTGATAGTAAAAGGCCCGATAATGCTAATAGCGCATCTGAAAAAGGTAATGGCAACAAAGGTTTGTCCAACCAACTGCGCTGGAATTAGGAATATGTTTATTACACGCAGTCAAGACACTTACGAGTGGAAATGCATCCAACACCATGGTAAGCGATATGTCGGTGGTCGATCCAAACCCAAAAGCAAACATTGCTCCGCCTATACTCGGATAAATGTAATGCATGCCCTACATGTAGATGTGTCAATGCCACTGGGTCCTGCTGAAAACAATCTCAAGTTCTTACCCTGTCCGCCGTCGCACCAAACATGATTAAACCGCCTGTGCTGACAATAGCAGGGAGAATAAGAGGATACAGCCGCATTTCGGCCTCAAACACCCCTCCCCTCCTTCGAGACAGCTTCACAATAGCCCAATCCGTCAAGGGCCCTCCGTAAAAGAAGGACAGAATGGTTCCTATTGTCGGGCCGGTATACATGTAGCCGACTTGGGCTGGATTAAAGTTATATGGCGGCGCGGCAAACACTATCGTTAGAACGGATGAGAGAACAACAAGCCAGCAGACGCCGGACGCTAGCTGCAGCCAGCCAAACACGACGTGTGGCATGAAACAAGTGTAGACGGGGGCAATCGCGAGCTTCAACAACGATTCGTCGGTTTGAGTGAGAAACCGCATCGCATGTCGGTACCTTTGCCAGGTCGAGGGAGTGGCGGAGGGAGCCGCCTCCAGGTCAATTTTACCATTGGTAGTATAAGTAGACGCCTGGGTGCCCTCAATCGTCGGTATCCACTTATTCTCTTCGAAGAAGAAGATGAAAATGACGTGAATAGCAGTCATGAAGCTCGCGAGCGTCATGTACGAGACTCGCCAGCCTTGTGCCTCGGCTTGGACACCGGCAATCATGGGCGTAAGGAAACTGCCGCCCATGACGGCTACAGCATAAATACCATTCGCGGTAGCTCTCTGATGGACAAAGAATAAGTCGTTAATCTGCAAGTATAAAGCTCGTGGTCAGCGTCTTGGCACAGTTGTCTATGCTGCGCCCATCATGGCCCAAGTCCTACGTACCGACATCTCGACTGATGTGTCGGTAGTCGAGGCCGCAAGACCATACAGAAGGCTTGTTAAATAGAGTTCCACCTTGGTTGTCATGTATGCCGTCCACCACGATGAGGCTGCGACGAGAGCCGTGGAGAAGACATAGGTCGACCGTCGTCCGTATTTTTTGGTAAGGGGAATGAAGAGGATACAGCTGGAAGCCAAGCCAACGAGCTGAATGGCCTGGGCGTTGGCAAGGTCCTGATACGTAATGCCGAGGTCTTGCGTCATGGGATTCCAAAACACTGGTTGGATCGAAAGACTGTAGGGCACGTAAAATGTAAGCCTTGACCGCCACGGGGGAAAATGGGAACAAGATCGTACGCTGTAAATACGGCCAGCGTCATGGACGTGAGAAGCCCGTAGTTGAGGGATTTACGCCATGTTGGCCAATTCTATGTCTGTGGTGAGTACCTCAACGACCGCGGGAGAAATTCAATGGCGACGAACCAGCGGCTGGTCGGGGTCGCTGGATGGCACTGGGCTCAGTATCATGTCCTCGGAGCCGCCACCTCCATTGTGGGCTGAAAACTTGGTTACTTGGTGAATTTCTCGCCATGGTGAAAGGGAAGGATTGCCAGTTACTTGTTAGTAGACGGAGTGTTCCCGGCACGTCTATCTGATCAGCAACGGCTGAATCCTCATTTCTCCGATTGCTCATCTGGAGTCTTTGTTGCGAATCGATTATGACAATTTACGATTGGAAATTCAAGAACAAGATGTAGTACAGCGGGCTTGACGGAAATGGGTTGGTTGATTCTGAGCCAGATGTTGGCAGGTCAGGGTTCCCATTGACCGTCCAGCAGAAAAGAACTTATATGCCATTTCCCGGCGAGAGATTGCAGCACAACACATTGTGAACAAAGGAGCGTGTGTCTTGATACTTTTCCAGGTTAACTCAGCCCCCCGGAAGAATCATTAGGTGAGTTCCGACTTGGTCAACATGCGATTGGTGAGTCCAGGGCGTCAACGGCGGGGCGGGTCTGTTGCATTATCACGATGCGACGCCATTACGTGGGGAATAGGCGCGGCAGTCCAGAGATTGGTGCCGGCTTGTTGGATAACCCTTGGGCCCTGGGGTAAATCCTACTACCCCGGATTCTTGACGGGTCAACGGTAATTGACAGGTCAAAGCAAGGTCGAGCCTAACCGGTCGACTTTTCTCAAGCTTGAAAAGTCTCAAGTTGTAGTTTTTATGGGGCAGATAGATCAAAAAGCCTAAGATTTCTAGCCCAGTACCATTTTACCCGGACTGGTGAATCAGATTGGTGCCTTACTTTGTGCTGCATCTTGAAGACGCTTTGACTCTGCCTAGCGTGTGATGATACACCACGCCCAGAATTCGTGATATCCCGGTAGTGTAGCATCCTTTGCGACAGCCGAAACATCAAGGTTGAAGAATGAAGCAGCTTTTGCATCATTGCCAGATGTCAACCTCAAAGAAATTTGTCGATCTTGCATTAACCCAAAAATGGGCAATACTAGCTGGCTTGTGTCTAAACAACCTTGTCGATGTTGGCATCGCTCGGGGAACGCGGGGAGATCGCACTTGCTAGAAATTCTGCTCTTGACAGACTTCTCATACAAGATGATGCATTGTCAACTTGGAATACTTTATAAATCATAGGGTAAGAATTGACGAACCAGTATTGTGTCGCATCTCAGCAGCCTCTGAGCCGCGGAATCCGACAACTCTGTATACTGTCGGGCAAGGGTAGAATTCAATGAGCCGCCTTCTGTGATAATTTTCTCGGTGGCTACAAACAGATTGTGTTGTCTGTTCGTGTGAAGTGAGAAGGTGACAGGAAAATGCCACCGCCAGCGGAGGCTGTGATGAAAGCTGATCGTCCACGACGTGCTCGGTTCGTGCTTTCAACTCGAGAAACTGGCGGGAGAAGTAGTCAATTGATGCTAAGACAGACTCCATTCAATTCTGGCGTGTAGCGAGCCGAACTTCCGTCAAGATCATCATTCCTCCGTGCTGATCTTGGGGCGGAGAACCTGTCTGACTTTTTTTCCCAACTTGGCGTCATGACGCTCGTCTACAACGCCCGTTCTGGCCGTAGGCAAGTCCTCCAGCGCCTTATTCAGCACTTCTTTTGCTCTCAGACTCAAATTCTTCCCCTCGTGGTTGATCTTGTTGAGGGGGGAAAAGGCTTGAACGACAAAACTACCCAGCTTTCAGCGGCAGCAGAACTGACGTGGCAAGTACCGTAATGTCGCGCGGGAAAGATTCCCGCCGGGATGATCAAAGTCTCAAGGTGTTTGCAACTAAATCGAAGGAAGCTGGCAAAATACGTAAATGACAATGGTGAGCGCGTGGCGATGACAGTTTGTAGACTTGAAGTATGAGCTGCCCACAACAGCAAACACGACGGCCGTTGCGACAAAAGACCAGGCCAACCCAGAATTGTGAGTGACATAGTAATCACTTTGAGAAAAACGATGCTACCGAGTATAGATGCACGGTGACGATGGAGCGAATACCATCTTGCTTCAAGGGATCGTGGACAGAAAGGCCTCGATCGAAAGGGTCCGCGCCGCGCAATCTAGTGTCTCGGTAGGATTACGGACCTCTGTCAAGGGCTCCGATGCCCAGATCCGTGCAACAGCGTAAGAATCTGATGCAGAGTAGAGCTCCGGCGTCGTCATCATCGGCAAGCAATGGATATCGTGGCGAATCGAGGATAGTAAGCAGGAAGACGATCACAATCAATTCGGGGACCATCCAAACGGCAACACGAATTTCCAACCACGGTCAACTATCGTCGATCGTAGCTCCGGCGATCTTCTCCGTGTCTGTTGTACAGAGCAAGACTAGCGAAACCAGAATTCTTCCGCATGGTACGGAGCAAGGACGATCCCTAGTCCAACAAACGGGAGACGAGGTGCCCGGGTGGCTGCAGCAAGAACACCGAGGCCGTCTGAGCACACGGCATCTTCGCAGGGCAAATTCGGGCGTTGTAACGGTAGAAAGGGCATTTTCAGCTCCCATCCCAGGTCCCTGGCAAGTCGGGATGATTAGAATAAAAGTGAAGCTCTAGTGCTTACCACGGAGCACGAGCTATCACAAAATACACGTACTCGTGGAACCGCTGTGTGCCGGCCGACAATGGACGGGACCAAGGGTACCAAAAATAACGAGACTGCATTTGTTCTTGTACCACATTGATCGGATAGATGATTCGTGCCGCTGCCTTGTCGGGAAGTGGGTTGTCGTTGCCAAACTGGTATTGCTGCAGACAAAGTCTGGAGCCTTATGCACGCACGGTACGGGGAATTGTTTCCGGGCAGCAACTCCATGTCATATTCAATGTTTGCCACAACGTACCAGTTGACATGTACGGGCGAGTCCTTGTCACGGCCGCAATATTGAATTTCAGCCAGCCACGGCGGCTGAGCGGCCCTGGGGCACGGCCCGTCGCGCGTAGAGATCTCGAGCTGTCAATATATTGACGTCAACGATGGCGGAAGTCGCTGTTGCATTGTCGCCACGCTGGGTTGGGGGCCGTTGAGGACCAATATACCACGGTTGGCAATGTCAGGTACATCTAAGATTGCGACTGCAGCTGGTACTCTGCGCATTTGCTTATGTACGTGCCATCACACTACATGTCACCTGCACTTACGGCATAATAACAAAAGCTTGCCAACCTGGGAAGACTTCTGTCAACTTTCACCGGTGAGCTGACGTACCTGCAGATAGTTGTTCCAGCCAACCCCCCCAGTTGCATTGGGTGGCGTTCAATATTGGCACAGCAGGCCGCACCGCGTACGCTTTCCGTCCCAGAAGGCATCGTCGGGAGAAAACTTCACGCCATGTCTGCAGCTGAGATTGAGGACGGCTCGTATGATCAACGGCATCTACCGGCAGTTGTGACAACAAAGGCTTGTGGGGGAACAAAACTATTGACGCCTTCCTGTAGTGACTAACGCCGTTACCAAGTTTTGACCGTTTAGGATCTTGCTTTTTTTTTTCTTTTTTTGAAGGACTGGACTTGACATTGGGCCTCGGAAAACTATATAAACTCCCCGTCGTCGACTTGAGTCAACTTCAAGTCTTCAAACTCCTGCATCTCAATCTGCAACCTCCTCTTACAACACCACACTACACTTCTTTTATCACTTCCAGGCTTTCTTACCAAACCTTCAATATGAAGTTTATTGCTGCTGTTCTCACCTTGGCCGCTGTTGCTACTGCTGCCCCTGCCGAGGTTGTGGCCCGTACTGATCCTACAACCTGCAGCGTCAGGGGCGACAATACTGGAAAGGTGACATGCTGCAATTCGGCGATCCCTATCATCGGCCAACTCCTCTGCAATATCGCGGTTTTAGGAAATAATTGCAATGTTGATCAGCGTTCTTACTGCTGCAATACCAGTGCCAACGTGAGTCTAGTGCCTCTTGGATATCTTCAAAAAGCCAGAATCTAACCATTGTGTCCAGGGGGGCCTGATCAACGTTGACCTTCTCAATTGCGTTAGCCTCTAAGTCAGCTTGGTGCGATTTGAACGCGTCTGGTCCGAGCTGTCGGCGGAAGCCCTATCAGGGTAGTGTGGCTGGTACGCAGGGTGGCGATCAACTCAA